TTCTGGGAGTTGAAGTCCACCTGTCTTAAAGTTGCCAAGGTTGAGGAACCCTGCTCTAGATGAGTCTTGAGGAAATTTTTTAAAAATCATGAAAGCTTTGAAGAGAGTTGGGGGGTAAGGGGTGTTCAAGGAAGTTCTGCTATGTCATGAATTAAATCATTTCTTTTAAATATAGAATCATAGAGTTGAAATGTTCTTAGAGGTCATGTAGTCCAATCCCCTGAATGCAGGGTTCACTAGAGCACTTCTAGTGACCACCCAGCATCTGCTTAAACACCTCCGGTAAAGAATTCTTCAGGTTATGTGGCAGGCAGCTTGTTCATACATCCAGAAGTTCGTCCTGCCTGAGCCTCCTTCCTTGCAGTTTTAACCCATTACTTCTGGCCTTGTCCTCTGGAGCAATAGAGGATAAGTCCTCTTCTGTGTGGCAAACCTTTAGATGTTCAAAGACTGCTATCATATATCCTCTTAACTGTCTTTTCTGCAGCCTACATATGCCTTGATTCTTTGACCATTCCACAGAGGGCTTAATTCCAGGTCCTTCACCTTCTTGATAGCAGTCCTCTGTACCTGCTCCAATTTGTGGCTGGCTTTTTGGACTGTGGTGCCCAGAAGTGGACACAGCACTCTAAGTAGGATCTGACTAGGGCTGAGTAGATGAAAACAGTTACAAGATCAGCGGTAATCAGGATTTAAAGGAGGGAACATTACCATTGCGAAATTGTCTCAAATTACTATCCCCAGGGTTAACTGACCATTCTGCAGTTTATTAAGCAATGTTCCCTGAAAATGTATTATTTTTAGTTGATTAGAAAGACTGCATATTGATTAAGCAATTCATTAAATGTACATGCATATTACCAAACACTTAATATAAGTATTTTTTGAGAATATTAAAAGGCATACAATATTGTTTATCATATTTATATTTTTAAAAACCTGCTTTTCAAGAACCCAGTTTTAGAAATATAAACCAGACTAAATGTTTAGTTAATGTTTACTGTTTACAGTTTTAACATTTATTTACTTACTTGCTTGCTTACTTACTCTAATCATGGCTCTACTTTCACAGGTTTTGGGCTCTTGCTTTATATGGAGGAAATGGTGAGACAGGATTCGAACAAAATTCTACCTATTCCATCTTCAGCATTTCAGTGACTTTGACAGATGAAGGCTTTGAACATTTCTATGAGGTCAACTCCTATTATTATTATTATTATTATTATTATTATTATTATTATTATTCCAATATGCTATCCTACGTAAATTTCAGTGATCAATGAATAATTTGAAAGAGGAATAGAAGTTTAGTATTTTTTCTTTATTCAACATGTTAGATTCCCAGTGTTTGCAATGCACTGTCATCTTCAAGTACAGGATGAATTTAATAGAGATTTATAAATGAAGGGTTTAGTGTTGGACAATACTACAGAGGCTGAAGCAAGGAGTGAAGACTCAGCTTTTGTAACTGGTTAGACTTTTGGCAATCACTGAGTAAGATTTTTTTTTTTAATAGTATTTTGCTGGAGATTTAGAGATATTTATCAGTAATGGAGATGGACAATTCTTCTGAAATCAGTTCTGGATAGTAGATCTTCCACAGCATAGGTATTCAGATATCTTTCATCAATAGTCCATATATGTATTGTCGAAGGCTTTCACGGCCGGCATACGATGGCTGGTGTGGGTCTTCTAGGCTGTGTAGCCGTGTTCTGGAAGTTTTGTTTCCTAACGTTTA